AACAACAACAACAACAACAACAACAACAACAACAACAACAACAACAAGAACAACAAGAACAACAAGAAGAACAAGAACAAGAGCAAGAACAAGAACAAGAACAAGAACGACGACAACGACAACAACAACAATCCCGCAAAATCAATGTATTTTGCCTTGATGGCCCTATGGGAGGCGCTCCAAAAACGCTTTGCGCCCAGGAGAAGATCACGAATGGTTCTAAACCTTTTCTACCTGCCTGGCTGCTTGCTCCCCTTTACTGAGGCAACACACAACATGGGAGTAATATGGAGTAATACAACATATCTATTGGAAGAGGTGGAACATCGGGAGTCCTGCAGGGAGTCCTGCGGCCGAGGGTTCTGAAACCTCGTGGAAACCTCCAGGGTCGACAGTGTCTACTTGATGGACATTTAAAGAGCCATCAACAAGTAGAGCACTTCTCGGAACGCATCTGTTTGTAGGGCACGGAACAAAACGCCAAGGTGACCACATGCGCTACCAACCTTGGAGACCAGCCATCTGGCATTTGCCTTCTAAAACGAGAAAGGTGCGTCCGGGCTCCCACAACGGTGGACCCAGGTGCTCGCCCCCCTAGCCTGGAGACTCCTCTGGATGAACAGGTCCAACTATGATGGTCCAACGATGGCGATCTCACCGGCCTCGTCCCATCTTCACCAAGCTTCATAGAGGGAACTTTGCACGCACATCGCCTCCTCCAGGGCATGACGGCCGCCCGTCAAGAAGCCGCCACCTGGAGCCGCCACGTGGAGCCGAGCCACACCGTTTTTTTGCGGTGGTTCACTGCTCTTTTGGGTTGGTGGCTCGGCTCAAGCCATGGAAAACAGTCGTAGGGAGACCAGGGGAACGCCTGTATTTCATCATCCGGTTCTAGTTTGTGATTTGTTGGGATGGATTGAAGAAGTACCATTGAGGACCACATTTTATGGCGGAGGGACTGGCTGAGGCTGTTGATATGTTTCGATGTATGTATCTCCTTGTCAAGCAAACAACTTGGCAAATTGGATTCCACATCCGTAGTGAGTACCCAACCTATGCAACAAAAGCACAGCGAGGATTTTATGGCTTGCAAAACATATATACATGACATTTTGTGTTGATAGAATCAGAATTTAGAGCCAGGAAAACTCGTACGATGACTGAACCATTTCGATTGAAAGGGACTCCCATGCAAATTCTGACAGCCTGCAGGTGGAAGTGCTCTCCAAGACGATTGCGGGGCCTTAAACTTCTAGAACTAATCACATCTAATCACCAATCATGGAGGCCAAATTTGAGTCTCACTTGCCCAAGGGATTCCAAGGCTTGTGCTGAAGCATTTGAGTCTCACCACATCCACATCAACCACGCCCTCCCGGTCGTCACCTGCGTGATACGCAGACGCTGCGTTCACGGCCACTGTGTGGGCACCTAACGACCGACGCGAGAATCGATGTACCTCTGGAGTCAATCTAATTCACAAAACCTCACATCTCACATGTGTGGATCATTTGAACATAGGGATATATATATATAGTGTTATATATTATATAATTAGTTCACATATGTTAACATAGAGCATCCTTTTGAGGAAATTCATCAAAGGATAACTGAACATGATTGGCATATATTGGCATGTAAAGGGCCATTGATTGGAGTAAAACAACAGGGCTTATGAACAGGTCAGGTTTGGTTTTTCCATGTCGGGCATCCGGGTTAGACCTCATATGAGCTCTGCAAAATACGTGTGATTAAACCCCTGTCGTAAACTTTGTTACGCTCCTGTTTATGCTTTTCTTACGCGACCACAATGTGAGTTTATGTGCCACGGATATTGAAGAAGACCTTACGCAGATCTTACGCATCTGCATTTTCACACAGCAGACCCATACTCCCAAGGGAAATGCTTGCGCGAAGGCTCCTTTTTGCAGGTGAGCGGGCGTCAGTTATGATGGGCTGTCTTGAGAAACGTTTGATACAGAGTGGCAAACACAAACAAACACAGTGCACACACCTGAAACACAGTGCACACAAATGTCAGTTCCCAAGGGTGTCAAAGCTCTCATGGTCCATACAGTTCCTTTCTTGACAGGTGTGTGCTAAGAATCTACGAATGAAAACACAACCATACGGCAAATTTACGCAACATGCATGTCTCACAACTCCCTTACGCAACCTTACGTTTTTCAGGTCTTTGCTCACGCCCAAGTTCCATATGACAAGGCCTTTACTTAGTTCATCTTGGGAGGTTTCTTGCGGTGCTCATATAGCATTTTTGAACACATGGAGACTTCATGGACCGCCCTCAACCGACCCCGGCCGCCGAGGTCACCTCGCACGTCTCGCACGCCTTGCAGGCCTCGCTGTGCCTCCTGCACCGCCACCTCCAAGACGGTGCCCTCCTCCACGAGGAGCTCGGTGGAAAAGATCTGCGTGCCGCCGAAAGGGATCTCGCTCCAACCGGGGCTGCCGGGAAAGAGCAAGCAAGTGCCTTGGAGCATCTCCTGCGAGAAGGACTTGACCGATGTGACCGCTGCGGCTCAGAGGATGGGCCGATGGGTATAAAAGGAACGGCTTCCCGAACAGGAGCTGCATAAGCTGGGCTTGCGTATCCAAAGACATCTCAATGATCTTTTAAGTCCATTCTGATTAGATCTGCTTGGACCTGGGATTAGCAACGTAACAAGTCCCAGCAGAAATGCTGGGGCGCTCGAGGACCTTTCATCAAACACCACAGCAAGCTGAAGTTTATCCGCCGACCCTGTTCTAGCACCAAGAACGTGAGCGTTCGGTATATGTATAGCCCTGGGGCTTGGCAATCAACCTTCGCTTTGCGGGAAATGGCCAGGTTTTGCCCAAATGTTCGACATTTCACCCCAGGGTTTTGGAACTCTGTGGTGGTTCAATTCCCCCTTGGCAAACATACAGAACTCAGAACTCAGAAGAAGTAAAGAGTCACAAAGAGACACCAAATGAATTACTGTAATTCAACCCAACATGGTGCCCTGGACATGGGAGCAAGACACCAAAACAGTCTTCAACCCAAACATTCAAACGTTCAACACACCAAGCGCAAAGTCCAAGACCCGTCCAAACGGGACAGGCCAAACCTGATTGAACACACTGGAAAAATCGGAGTCCATCACTCTAACAAGCCCGCCAGCGGAGGGGTGAGGGTGCCTGGAGGGCCAAAGTCGCGCAACGCCACAACACCAAACTTCAGAATGGTGACACTGGGCCGTGACATGTGATTCTTCTTTTGCACTTTCTGTCTGAGGTGTCAGGGTGGACATCAGGTCAGGTCAGGAACATATCAGTTGTTCATGCAGGGAATAGGAGTGGAATACGGTAAATAGATAGTTATTTTTTGATGCGGTGAAGAACATGTCCTACGCAACACAAGACTTACAACAATCCGCATTGGGCCCGTTTTCTACGGCGCATTGCATCGGAATCAGCAGAGAAAACATCGCATGTCATTCGCCTACAGGTAAATGTTCAAAAGAATTTGGAACCCAACTGAATCCCTCAATCACTGCCCCAATCCCGGCCGTTTTCTTTTTCTAGTTGGAAGTTGGGTACATGTTTTTGGGTCGTTCTGGTGATGGATTTGGCATGTTTTGGCCGACCTGCGTTCCTCAAAAGCCTCGCGTTCCAATGTAGACCTCTTCTTAACAAAACATGATGTATATGATTGTAGTTGCGCGCGGCGCGCAACATGAATGTCGTGTAGAGACCTTTTGGCAAGGCAGCTACTGTAAATTACAGTGTTTTTGCAAAGTGTATGTAGTTTATTATCAATGTTCCTCGTACTCTGGTGATGCCAATGGTGCTCGACACAAATGCTACCTCAAAACTTCCTCTCTCATTTGCATACTTTCTTCTCTAGAGATCAAGTTTTACAGTTGCCATTTTTGTACACTTTCCCACGGTCCCCCTGTTTGTGACCTTTTTTCAAGCAAATACATACGTCCTGGTGATGTTCAATATGTCGGTATGCGGCCAACATTTCTAGCACCACCTGGCTTAGGGCAACCTTTTTTTTCACTTGAACATTTGTTTTTTAAACCCATTTTTTTCACCCTCTGAACCTTCTTTTTTCACCCTCTGAACCTTCTTTTTTCACCCTCGAACCTTCTTTTTCACCCTCTACCCTTTCTTTTTTGACCCTCGACCCTTTCTTTTTCACCCTCCTTCCTTTGCTTGGTGCGTTGGTTGGTTGGCTAGCTTGTTGTAACGCAAACCAAATATCGACAGCCTTTGGGGAAAACACCGGGTTGTGTGGTTTTGGTTGCTTGGTTCGTTGGTTGCTTGGTGGGCTACCAATGCAAAGCAAGTATCGACAGCATTTGGGGAAAACACAGTTTGGTTGCTACCCTTTCTCTTTTTACACCACTTCCTTTGGTTGGTGTGTTGGTTGGTTCGGCCTGCTTGGCTGTTGGTTGCTTGGATTTGTAGAAAACACACAGTGATGGATGGATCATGGACAGGGAGAAAAGGTTACTTTTTGGCGCGTTGGTTTGTTGGTTTGCTTGCCGTGATTGCTTGCGTGATACAGTGCTTGATGGACATACATTGTTTGTATTTGTGTTTGATGGATGGATGGATGGATGGATGGGTGCTGTGTAAATAAAGGCGGGAGGGGGGCGCGGGGGAGGGTGCAGCGCCTACCCCGCAATGCAAACCAAGTATCGACAGCATTTGGGGAAAACACAGGGTTGTGTGGTTTGGGTTGCTTGGTTTGTTGGTTGCTTGCTAGTTTGATGGGTGGCTGGATGGAGGGTCTGTAAATAATGGCGGGCAGGGATGGATGCATGCATGGATGCATAAATGGATGGAATGTAAATAAAGGCGGGAAAGGGCGGAGGGGAGGGCGCAGCGCCTCCCCCGCAATGCGAACCAAGTATCGACAGCATTTGGGAAAACGCAGGGTTGCGTGGTTTTGGTTGCTTGGTTTGTTGGTTGCTTGGTGGGCTACCAATGCAAAGCAAGTGTAGACAGAATTTGGGGAAAACGTTTGGTTGCTTGCTTTGTTTGCTGGTGGGCTACCCACCCTTCCCTTTCGCTCTCCTTCCTTTGGTTGGTGTTGGTTGGTTCAGCCTGCTTGGCTTGTTTGCTTGGATTTGGAGAAAACACATACAGTGATGGATGGATCATTGACAGGAAGAAAAATGTTACTTTTTGGTGTGTTGGTTTGCTTGAAGATGTTAAGAGTTTTTGCATTCCCTCATGCCCGCAGACTCCAACAAAAACTGAAATGGGAAACCAGGAAGATGACGAGGAACCACCAAACCAACCCGATCTCAGTTCCTTCTTCCAGCCACGTGCTGCTCCGGCCCCTCCTGGTCCTTCTCAAGAGCTTCCTCCAGTCCTCGAACATCGTCTGGGACGCCGACCTTCTCGAGCTGCCCCCATTGCTACTGCTAACTAGGATGGCCCTTCAATTTCTACCCCTGAGATTGTCACACGGTGTCAACGGGGCACTCGCAATCCTGGCGTGATACAGTGCTTGATGGACATGCAATTTTTCTGTTCGTGTGCTTGGTTGATGGATGGATGGAGGCTGTGCAAATAAAGGCGGGAGGGGGTGCGGGGGAGGGCGCAGCGCTTCGGGATGGGTGGGATGGGTGGTTGGTTGCTTGGTGGGTTTGTTGGTTTGGCCGCGTTTTTGCTTGGTTGGTTGGTCGGTTGGTTGGATGCATGGATGGATGGATGCTGTGTAAATGGAGGGCGCGGCGCCTCCACCGCCCCCGCACAGGATTTCTAGTATCTACGGCACTTGGGGAAAACACGGAGTTATGGTTTGGTTGCTTGGTTGGTTGGTTTGTTGGCTTGGCCGCGTTGTTGCTTGGTTGGTTGGTCGGTTGGTTGGCACTCCGGGATGGATGCATGGATGGATGGATGCTGTGTAAATGGGGAGGGCGCGGCGCCTCCCCCGCCCCCGCACGGGATTTCTAGTATCTACGGCACTTGTGGAAAACACGGAGTTATGGTTTGGTTGCTTGCTTGGTTGGTTTGTTGGCTTGGCCGCGTTGTTGCTTGGTTGGTTGGTCGGTTGGTTGGCACTCCGGGATGGATGGATGGATGGATCCTGTGCTGCCTCACGTTCCGGAGGCGTCCGGGTCAGTTTCCGGCAGTTCCCGTCGTTCCGGAGAGTCTCTGCGCAGTTTCCGGAGGGTTCTGAAGGGTTAGTAACAAGAAGTTATTGAGGTGAAAACAAAGGGTTTGGCAGGGTGCAGACAAGCGGGGTGAAACAAGCCGGAGGTGACATCGTTCTCTGTGCAGGTTCCAGGGGTTACCTGCTTCACCGGCGAAGGGTCGAGGGTGAAAAAGAAAGGATGAAGGGTGAAAAAGCAAGGTGAAGGGTGAAAGAAACATGCTACAGAGTGAAAATGACAGGGTGCAGGGTGAAAATTAAAACAGGTCTTGCAAGGGTGGAAAAAAAGGTTCAAAAGGGTGGGGAAAAAGGAATCTTGAGGTTGAAAAAAAGGTTTCGAGGGTTGGAAAAAAGGGAGGGTGAAAAAAAACATTGTTCTAAGGGTGAAAAAAAGGGAGCCCCCTGGCCTTATGGGGCTTCTTCAAGCCTCAGGGCTTTGTAGTGGAAAACGCTGAACAATCTATCTTTTTGATCATGTTCTAGCCTAAAGCTATCTGTGATCACAGGGTTCGCGGACGCAAAGGTGCACGCGCGAGTGCGTGTGCGGGTGTGCACGGTGTGCATGTGTGTACGTGTGTCTGAAGCTGAGGTTGCCAGGCTTTTTACATCAGACCCTCGTGCGCACACCTGTGTGGGAGTGTGCATGCGCAGGCGTCAGAAGCTGTGCTAATCGTCGATTTTGCTGTGCAAAGAGCCTGCGGATACGCGCAGTCCCCCCAAGGGCATCAATGGTTGGCCACTCAACAGGTAAGTCACTCAACATCTTGTAAATATGTCCGAACTTGAAAAACCCGAGGCAAACCTCCCCAAAGGAACCCCACAAGGTTCCCCAAACGAACCCGGTGCCCCCCAAGGGCATCGCCCTTCGGTCGACGCAGTTCGGTCTCGAGTGAACCAAGGCCGAGAGTTGGGAGGAGTTGGCACAAGTCCCACGGAGTAAGATGCATCGATAGACCCTCTTCCCCTGGAAGATGCCAAGTCCAAGAGTAAGATGCCAAGAGAGATGGAAGATGTTCAAAGATTGAGAGATGCCAAGTCCAAGTTCCTTTGTTTTCACGCCGGTGCTACGCTGCTACGTGGTGCGAACATCGACCAAGCTTTCGACCAAGCGAAGGCGGGTGGAGCGCGTCCTCCACATGGCTCAGTCGGATCACCGTGGAGCCCAGTTGGTAGGCCTGGTGCTCCACCACCTGTTGGTAGCTAGCAGGGTGAAACATGCCGGTAGATGAGGAGGATCAATTAGAAACACATGCAAAAGACCAAGCCAGCAAAACGTCTGTACTTCATGTCGTGAACTCCTATTCCATTCACTTGTGAAATCCTGTTCCAATTCGATGTCCTTGAAAACACGGTTCTTGGGATGTCCTTTCTGCATCGACACTGCCGAGACGGTTCTGACGGACCGACGGCGTCCATCGGTGACGGACCGACCGTCACCTGCCGCGTGAGGGCGCTGATCTCGCGACGCCGTTCTCCTCGGCGACTGGGCGACGGGCGACGGCTCTCGGTCGCGAGAACACCGGTAGCAACGCGTGGGACACGGCGGTGTGAGGGGAACAAAACGGATCAAAGGTGTTTTTTTTTTCTGGTCAAGCAAAAGGGCTGTTCGGGTCTGAAAGTGTCATTTTGGAGTGTACTAACTTTTCGGTGGGGACAGCCCAAGCCATGCAGCGGGAAGCAGCTGACAACCTCATCAACCAGGACAGAGCGACTGTGAAGAATGACTTCAGATGCTTAAGACGCTACTTCCCATTTTGCTATGGGAGAGCTACATCATTATGCCGATCAATTGCTTGGACACGGAGAAGGAGATGAATGGCACACGCCAAGGCAGTCCCTTCAGAATCCAATGGAGACACCAGTCCTACTTTATGTTCGCGAACATCATGACATCATATTTGACACATATTGACACACATGGAGATCTCCTGGTTCCAAGGTTCATTCCTCCAAGTGACTCAATCAACATCCATGATTTCCAACTGACAGTCACACAATATATCAACATATCATCCAATAGTAGCCAAGAAAAACCTGGATCTTCACGGATCTTCTACCTACAATATATATATATATATAAATATATAATAGACTATATATAATAGATATACCTCTCCCGCTTAGTCGTCTGTCTCACCCCCTTCCCTCGCCCAGTCTCGGTCCGTCTTGCCATTCGCCTTGCGCAGCCACCCGAAGCCACGCTCCACACGTGGAGCAGTGCCCATGTCGTGAATAGCCAAGGGGGGCCGAGACATCCTGGACGAACCGCCCACCAAAAGGTGCTTCTCTCACGCCACCCATGGTGTTTTGAGGGGTGTGTGCCGAGGGGTGTGTGCCTCAAATTCAAAGGGGGTGGATGGAGGATTCCGTGGATCAGCTGAAGATTTCTTGTGAAGGAACAAAAGTACCTGAAGCTGCCGCAGACTTGAGGAATGTGCGGGAATTACCAAAATTATCAATGCCATCCCAAGCGCTGTTTTTTTTGTTTACAAGGTATATGCATGTCTCAAAAAGAAGGAACCTTCCAACAAACGGCTTGATGCACTCGCTACTCGAAGAGGGAATCACAAGCAAACACAGCTGGAAGAAAGAGAGCGGGCCAGGGATACACTCAGTTTGAGAAGCACAATCCCATAGCGGCAGCAATTCGCCCTTCTCCCGGGGCTTGGGAAAGTCGGCTTCCCTCATTGCAGCTCAGGTACACCGAGGGAAGGGTTGGAGTGCTGTAGATCCAACGGACAAAGTCCTCCTGGGGCTGGTGTCGCTCCAAAACAGATTTGACCCACATACAGTGACATCATTGACATCCCTGGAAGCATTCCACCTCTACCTCTCCATCTAGCTAACAATGAATCAGTCGAAATCTTGCAAGTTGATTGGAAGCACGCCCCCGGCTGAATCAAAGCGTGAACGGAACTGGGACTGTAGCCAAAGACATGTCAAACACATCCCAATGGCCCAAACCAAAGGTAGTTGAACAACAAATGATTCCGTGATGTGATGCAAAGAATGTGGAGACGCCGCCCGGTATACCGTTGGGAATCATGGTCCGTGATTCGCACCAAACTTCGGCAACCCAAAAAGCAACTAGTATATATTATGTACTCTAGACTATATATAATATATGGTTCTTGCGCCACCAAGGGCTCCCAGCTCCGCTCCAGCATGCTCATTCGTTCCCCTCGCGCAGCTCCCAACGTGCGACTCGGTTGCAGCTGCGATTCCACATGAACCATTCCATCAGAGCCTTTGAACGGCTTGATCAGCTCATCGATCTCCGCGTCTCCGAGCCCCTCGAAAGAGGACATTCCGCTGTGGTCTTAACTTTTCTGGTGTGAAAGGATGCAAATGCGGGGGAACCGTAGACAGCCATACATCAGGGGATGATGCGACCTTTGCTGGACTTCAAGTAGTGGGAGTTGACACGAGGTGCCCTCATTGGGAACATTTGTTGTAGTTGACCAAATGAGTGAACGACCGTGGTAGTTCCCCAATTCTTGCAAGCACATTGAAGCAAATTGGTCACAGTCATGTCAGTCTTGTGAAAAGCGGGTGCCTGTCTCCAGCACACGTGCCCCGTCTCTCGGTCGATCCATCACTGATTGTTTGTCTCCCTTCAACATTGTAACATGAGAAAAACACCACAGTGCTTTATATAGGTATAATATACATGTCATATAGTTTCTTTCCCTTAGCAGCTGCTAAGGCAACTGTGGGGCCTCGTTTCGAAAGACACGTGCCGCACAAGGCACACGCACAAGACACACGCACACCCATAAGGCTGTTAGCATGTTCAAGATACGTAACAAACATTAACAAACCATGCCGGCTTCTTCATGCACCGCATTGCGCAGCTCGGCTTTCAACCGCCTCGTCTCTTGCAACATCATCCATCCCGGACTGAACTCTCTGCAGCTCTTGGAAGCCTGAAACCATGTGGCCGCAACTGTCAACCTTTAGAACAAGCTTTAGAACTATCAATCTTCAACCATCTTCCATCTTCAACCACCCCTTCCTGGAAATGTGTGGCCCTCTCACCCAGTCCCATTCTCTGACCATTCTGCCTGCGGCTGAAGTGATTGGAGGACGCCCTTGAGCTCCTGACTCTCGAGCCGTGGGACCTCAAGGCGGCCGTTTTTGGGGGCGGGCAAAAGGTGGAGGATGGCATCTTCAAATCATCCTGAAATCAGGTTTTAAGTGGATTTGTTTCATCTTCAAGCCACTTAAATCATCAAATCATCTCAAGCCACTTTAAGTGGATTTGTTTCAACCTTTCTCAAATCATCTCAAGCCATGCGTAGAGTAAAAAGAAAGCGGACGGTCCGTGACGTACGGGCGCGTCGCGGAGATTGAGATCCATCGTTTACAGGTAAGTTGTTGAGCAAGATAAAGACGTGAAACCACCCACCAGCAATATGTCTTAGCCATATCAATGGCTTGTCCACTACAATATTTGTTTTCCCTTCTCTCTTGCCAGTAGATTTGGGAGTTATGAATATGTCATTTCAAGTGCCATTGAAGGACCATTATCTGGACTATAGGTTCAGGGAGTATCAGAATGCGTCCTAAGCAGGAATCTGTTCAACAATTCAATACCCTAGTTATCATACTCTGGATGCAATGGGCCAGTTTGTTGAATCAAACAGGACCTGTCTGGGGAGCTCAAACGTTGCCAGTTGGATGCTTAACCTTCTTCTGTTTAACATAACCCCTCTGGAGTCATGAATTCCAAACTTCGCTGGCGCACCACGCAGCGTTGGAAGATGCTCAGCACTTGATCTGCCGCCATTGCAATGAAGCCAAACTTGCGAGATGTAGAGACAAATTGGTTTCGACTACCTGCTGACCAGAAGAAAGCTCAACACGCAAGACAAACATGTAAACTCCTGTGGGACACTCTTCGACACACCGATGGTGTAAAGTGTAAATAGGACTTGGTGTCAGGATTCAGGCTGAATCTTGCAGGGCCGCCTTTGCATCCAGCTTGAAACTCTGTTCGAGCAAAAATCGGAGTTCGGAAGCAAGACAGTGACCAGGAGGACATTGAACCGCCATAGTTTTGCCTAGGAGGGCAGCAAAAAATTTGGCACCCGAAGGAAGAACATAGAGTTCAAACACTCGAACTGGAGTTCAGAGACTCTCTGAGCAACTTCATTTGGGTGTGTATTAACATGCATTAACCCTAGGGCTCCAACTCTCTTTAACACAACAAAGTTGTTTACAGTTGTGTCAAGCACCTGCCTCTTGCTGAGACAACAACAATAAAAACTGTGCCAATGCTACAGCACCGTCAGTTCGACTTTTGGTTCTCTGTATAGGGATGTGTACGGTCTATAATTAATGTTGACCTATGATTAATAAAGGGATCCAAAAGAAAATTGGCAAAGTTCCGCCCTGATTACAGTAATAAGCCCCACCAAATAAAGTCAACATTATTTGTTTGCTCTTGGAGTGGTACCTCTCTGTGCTCTGGGGTCCTTTCTTTCGAATCCGGGATGGACTGGGCCAGCGAAGGCATAGGGGAAGTCATTGGGCCCAAGCATTGCATCGCTTGAAGAGGCGCGCCCCAAAACGGCTAGCTTCCAAGCTTCGGGCACCCCATTAGTCATTTGGAAGTTGAACCCAAGGCAGAAGTAGTGTTCCAATGGCCGAGCAAGACCTGATTTCATGTCCTCTCCCCCAATTGGCCGGTGTAAGCAAAAGTCGCATGTGTTCCAGATTTCTCTCACTTTGCCCACCTATTCGATTTATTCCCACGTGGTGGCCGGTCACTATCCCACGTGGTCACCTGCCTCGGTGCCAGGACCTCCGCTTCCTTGGGCCTCGCTGACCGGAGCGGCGGTCGGTTGATCCAAGAGCAGGTGGCCAAAATTACAACCCTCACACAGCCCTTGCACATCTATCATGGAATCATGCAATCTTCGCAATCTTTGGATGATCTGTCCGCCCTGTCACCGTCGCCCTGCGTCTGTCAGCGTGGCCGGTTTCAAGTCTCGGTGATGTCTTCCTTTTCGGGGATCCCTGCGGAGATGAGTCTCGGTCCACCCCCATGGAGCTCTTGCGTGGCGTCACCCCACGCTGCGAGAGGATCGCCTGGCGCGGGCTGTGGATGGAAGTCACGTGTGGCCACAGCGGCCAGTTGGGGGCTGGAAATGATCGTCGTTTTCCATACCAAATATGCGCAAAGTCTATGCGCAATTTCCGGAACTTCTATCCTCCTATGGGAAATGATCTTATTCAACTTCACGCCAAGACTTCTCCTGATAGTCCATCATTGCCACAGGTCGCAAGCCAACAAGGAGTTTGGTTTGTGGGCAAGGTGGCGGGCGGTGGCAAGGTGTTGCTGTGGACCAAAAGAACCAGTGTCAGTGAGACACACAAAATGCACACGCGCTTTCCCAAGGTTTACAGGGAAAAATAGTATATATATATATGGAGAGAGAGAGTTGGAGCGCTGTTTTCGAGGCATAAACGTGGAGGGATTTCATTTGGACCACGGACAACATGTATTTGCTAAATCAAAGGACATCAGGATTTGGTGAAAGTGTTATCGGATTGTCTTTGTATGGAAACGGTATGATCATCCGTTTTGTGCCCAGAACCTGAGCTTTGAGATCCACGTCCATCTCTTTTCTTGTCTAGTCCTCCGACAACAACGTCTTGATCATAGCATAATCATACAGCGTTTTCATTATAGATTTAGATCTTTCTTGCTGTTTTCATGCACCTTCTTTCACCTATTGCGGGGGGCCAACACCTACTGACTCTGCACACATCCCTTCCACCTCCCACATCCCGCCCGGTGGCGGCGCCTTGAGGGACCGTGCCGCGTCGGACTCCATGAGCTTGGTGTAGAGCTCGTCTCCTGGAGCACGGAATCGGGGTGGGCGATTCGCCCATTGCCTGTGAAGACCCATGGTATGGTTCGGTGGAAGGCGATGAGGGGCGATCCCGGCAATGTGTTTGGATCGTTTGGCGTGCTGAAGTGTCAACAATTTGGTCAGAGATCTCTTTGTGATCTGTCTTCCCTTTCTTTGGTCTTTCAAACAAACCCCAGCAAGGGGGAGGGGCCGGAGGGGTGGGGAAGCTTCCGTTGTCCTAATATGTATATATATATATATAATATAGAGGCGCTTCCATTCTTTTCAAGGATTCCATCCAATGGGTCTGTACGCATCGTTCCACTCGTTGCACTCGTTCGCATCCGTCGATGTGGACACGGACGGACAGTCGGACAGTCGGACAGCTGAGCAGTCGGTGTCGAAATCGAAATCAATCGGGGAACCCTCCGTAGAATGGGTAAGGGATCAAAATAAAAACAAATATAGAATCAAAAAACAATTCAACGGGGATCAATAAAAAATAAAAAGGCAATCAAAAAAAATATTCTAGCCCACTGAGGATGGTTGGGGTAGTAGTAGTAGTAGTAGTAGTAGCAGTAGCAGTAGCAGTAGCAGCAGCAGCAGCAGGAGGAGTAGGAGTAGTAGTAGCAGCAACAGCAGCAGGAGGAGGAGTAGTAGTAGTAGTAGTGGTAGCAGTAGCAGTAGTCACGGCGTTCACACGAAGTTAGGCCCTACATGGCGTTGTCAGAGCGCTCAGAGCAGAGAAGTGTTTGGAATGGGTGTAGCAGCATCGGAAGGTGCCTGGATGGGAATCTCCTCAGGAAAAAGATGTGGTGGACCAGTCTATTTCTAATGGGTGCATTGCGGTCGCAGCCGTACAGGGTCTTTTTCACCAAGCTGGTGAACCATTTTTTCGAGTAGGGCTAATCAATGACTGGACGGCTACCTTATCGCTGGGTACCTACTTTCTTCCCAGGGAGCTGCCTCTAGTAGAAAGCAATCAAGCCTCTATTTGCGCAAGCAGGGGACCAGGAGATCGACAGACGAGCGCCGTAGGAGAGCAAAAGACCAGCGGACCAGGAGACAGAAGGACTAGGATACCAGGGGACCAGCGGACCACAGGACCAGAGGACCAGGAGACCGGAGGACTACGGGACCAGTGGACTAAAGGACCAAGGGACCAGGGGACCAAAGGACCAGTGGACCAGAGGACCAAGGGACCAAAGGACCAAGGGACCACATTACCAGAGGACCCGCAGACCAAAAGGCCAGGAGAGCAGCAGAAGAGGCCTATCAAGGAATATTTTTTTTGATTCGCTTTTTATTTTTTTTTAATCCTGTTTTTTTTTAAATGCTCTTTTTATTTTTTTTTGATACCTATGCCCCGTAGAATACCCTGATCTCAAACTATACTCAAGACTTGGAAGGACGCATGCTGAGACATCCCAGTGAAAAAAGACCCCGACAACTCCTGAGTTGCTTGACCTCCAGGCTACCTTCACGTGTAAATTACAGCAGCCAGCATTGATGTCTCCCCCGTCTTACTCTATGGCTTGCGAGTGCCATAAACAGCTCGATCGAACCGAACTGATACAAACCTTTCGCCAATCCCTTCGCAACGCTTTCGCGGCTGCGTGTTTTGCTTTCGCCGACCCACTTCACTCAACAACAACCTCTTTCGCTAACAGCTAACCCTTTCGCTGAGTTTCTGCTACTTACATCTAAGAAAAGTATCGGCAAAGGGGAATCATTCCTAATCTGTAACCACTGCTTTCGCCACATCTTCGCGAACCTTTCTCCAACCTTTCGCCTGGTTATCAGGAGACTTTGGATAACATGCTTTGTACTGAAAACATCTGAAAACCTCTTTCGCCAACCCTTTAACAACAAAATCCTTTCATCAACAATTCAGAGCCTTTCTCCAAACCTTTCGCCAAGCTTTCCCCAACTGCAGTTTTCCTTTTGCAAAGATTCATAATCTGAAGTCCTACCTAAATTTTTTCATAGAGGTTTATGACGTTGCTCAAATGGCTTTGGCCCAGCTGTAAGCTGGCCCCTCTCTCTGATATAATTAGATGTGCCTCAAGTGTCCCTCTTCGCACCCTGCTGTCCGTCTCCACGATTCCGTCTCCCGCCTGCATGTGAATCGCCGGCGGAAAACCGTCGCAGCAGCTCCTCACGGCCACCCCTGAAGGCGCCCAAGCCGAGTTTCTCGGGGGCGCCGATGTGGCATGTTGTTGGCTCGATGTGTCGATGTGTCGCACTCTCGATGTGTCGATCTGAGGTACTTCCAGTGTTTTGGAGGTGTTGGGGTTCCCGCCAGGGGATCATCGGTCAGCAGGGGTGGCCGGTCCAGACCGTCCAAAGATCACGACAATTGACCTACACCCTCAAGATCCCTCAAGTTTTGTAATGCAAGGTGTCCACTCATTCTACAGTAGCTGTCCACGATCCAGCAACATTTGTTTGACCAAAACATTGAATTGGCACAGATCAATACATTTTTTCGGTCGGTACCTCTATCTGTTGACCCTGCTCCCGCATGAAGACTCCGAGTGGCACCAGCTGTTCCGCTCTTGCAATCCTGGCCAGTTCATCGGCGGTGCAAACATTTATTGTGACACATGTTGAGCACAGCATGTTCTGGATGTGTCACATATCAAAGTTTCGGACCCCATATCTGAATGTGTCACGCATGTTCTTGAACCACCTTCAAAGCTTCGGACCCCATATCAACCACTATCAACCCATCCCCTCAAACTGGGACATGCAAAACTGTGTCCTCGTCTGTGTCCTCGTGTGTGTCTCGGGGCACACAAAACTGGTCAACCGAGAACCCAGTTCGGTGTTTCTCCGCCTCTCAGCCAAGCGTTCTCTTGGAGCATCTTCCGTCCGGTCCTCCGGAACCGTCGCTGGTTGCGTGATCCTTTCGTCGGTCTTGGTGAGT